AAAAGAACTTGGGGTGAGGGGTAAGGAAGCCATGTTTCCACAACAGGTTTTGCACAACAATAGCCAGGAAGTGACACAGTGCAAGGCTGGAAGAAGCAAAAGGCAGACATGCAACCTCGAGTGTTGCTTTGATCACAGGGAAGGACGGCAATATTTTCAGAATCTGCAAGAACCTCAGAAATTGAGCTGTGGGGGAAAGGAGGGCCAGATTTGGGGCGAGGGAAAGCTGCACTAGAGGGGAGCGTGCAAAGCGCGAACAAAAAGTCAATACGGTGGCACAATCAGGTGATCGAAGCTGTGCCGGATTTTCTGCGTGTCGTGAAGCACACCTAGCTTCAACCGTACCATTACAGCCGCCATCATATCATGCCTTGTGTGCGGACAGCCCTGCTTGCTCCCTAAGAAGAGCCAAACATGACCGGCAAAGTCTCTTTTGGAGAGAGCAGAATTCGGAAACCGTCTGGCCGTCCTCACAAGGCTCAGACCCTGAATGTTAAAAAAAGGAAAAAGACGGGATCGGCTTCCCTCCGCATCACACCTAAATTAAAGTGATCCGTTCTTTCCCAGCTAGAGCTGCCAGGACAGACTCAACATGGCAGGATCCCAACTGAACTATTCTTGCTTCCTTGAGCCATTTCCACACCGCACCCATTTCCTGCGAGTCTGTATTCCTTTTCCTCCCCCATTTATTATTATTACAAGCATTTCCATGGAAGTAAGGACAGGTTAAAGACTGAGGAAAACCTTTGAGCTGAAAGACTTCCGTTCCTTAAAGTAGTTTAACAATGGATTCTGGAGTTGAATAACCGAATTAAAAAGCTCCGAAAGCTTGGGAAAAAAACTTTGGCGCGCTGGTGACCTGCTGAATTCCAGGACAAGAAACTTTCAACTCAAAAGTTCCTTTTCTGGGGGTCCTTCCTCCTGCAAGGCCTCTCTCTCGTCAGAAAAGAGCTCAGGCGAAGGGAAAAGAGATGAGCAGGCGGCTTTTGCAACGTGCAAAAAAAACAGCTTCCAAAGGGGCTCGAACAGGCTCACTTGGCCGGAGACGGAGAATGGGAACCTCGTCCCAGAAGGCGCTGTAAATGCAAGTTGTCATTTAACAACTGCTGGATGATACAATGGTGCTGAAAAAAAGGTGACTCATGACTGGTCCTTGCACTTACGACCCGAGCAAGATTCGAACAGCTTAGTAAGGCCACACCTAGAGTCCTGCATCCAGTTTTGGTCACCACACTATAAAAAAGATGTGGAGACTCTAGAAAGAGTGCAGAGAAGAGCAACCAGGATGATGAGGGGACTGGAGGCTAAAACATACGATGAACGGTTGCAGGAACTGGACATGGCTAGTCTAGTGAAGAGAAGGACCAGGGGAGACAGGAGAGCATCTTCCAATACTTGAGGGGCTGCCACAGAGAGGAGGGGGTCAAACTATTTTCCAAAGCACCTGAAGGCCAGACAAGGAATAATGAATGGAAACTGAACAAGGAAAGATTCAACCTGGAAATAAGGAGGAATTTTCTGACAGTGAGAGCAATCAACCCATGGAACAGAAGTTGCCTTCGGAAGTTGTGGGAGCTTCATCACTGGAGGCTTTCACTAAGAGACTGGGCTGCCCTCTGTCAGAAATGGCCTACGGCAGGGGTGAAATGCTACCGGTTCAGACCGGTTCGCCTGAACCGGTAGTAAAAAAAGTAAAAAAAAAAGTTCTGAAGATCAACTGACCAATGCACAATGGTCGGAATTTTTTTTTTTTTTTTTTTACTTTTTAAAGCATTTTTAACTACCGGTTCCGGAGAAGCGTGTGCAAAGCGTACGCACTGTGCAAACTGGTGGTAACACCGGTTGAAACCCATCATTGGTCTCTTTTTTATAGTGTGGGGACCAAAACTGGATGCGGTGTTCAGTGTCGACGGGGCTACAGACAGCCCAGCGGAGGGAGAGGCTGCTTCGGGTCAAGGCCAGAGCAAAGAAACCGGGGTCGTGAGGTGGGCTTTGGGTTAGGTGCTGACCCAGCGAATTAGCTGAAGGTAGACCCTAGAAAAGCACGAATCTGCTCCCAGCAGCACCAGCAGCTGGCTAACTGGGCAAACGGGAGCATTCCTGGGAAAGTGGCATCAGACCAAGTGTCTGCAGCGGTCCTAGGAAAATCAAATAAATCAGCCCCCTTTCATCCGTGCGGAGGGGAGGGCAACCCCGAAAGGCAGCCCTGCCAAAGTTTAATTAGTATCTCTCCTTGTACGGAGACGAGATCCCGGAGAAACCTTTTCATCTGATCTGGGAACAGAGGCTGAGCTGTGGAGAGACCGGGGCCAACTTTTGCAAAGCTGCAGTTTGCATTCGTCACCGCAAAAACCACACTTGGCAGAAGGCTGGAAGCCACCCGCAGCGGCAGGGGAGCTGGTGGCCTGAACCAACATTTCCCACTCCCAGTGTTAATTTTAATTATATCATATCAAATATAAAAGCGCAGGCGCTCGGCTGTGTGAGCTCAAAAGCCTGAGCGGGGCCAGAAATCTCTGGGAGAATGATGTCATGCAGTCAGATTTATGTGATGTGGGTCAGATCCAGGCTTGGCAATAGGTCTCTTCCCCCCCACCCCACTGCTGAGCAACCAGCACTGAGATAGAAGCTCTTTTCATCTTTTTAGGTTAGAAGTGACAGACGCAACCAAATTTAGGGAAATGAGCTTCTAAAAGCCCATGCCAACTTTTATCCAATGTCCCTGTGGATTTGGCACCAATTTAACCCATTCACTTCACAACTCAGCTTTCCTTCGGAGAGATGAGGAAACCTCCTGTTTTATCCCAACAACCCTGTAAGGTAGGTCGTGGGGGGGGGGAGGGAGAAGGAGAGGTTGGTGACCCCAAACAATGTCAAGGGGGGAAGTCAGATTCAATTAAAAACTGTGCTATTTACCGAATAATTGCAGCAAATAAGGTGGTGATAATATTGGGCGCCTCTCACTTAATGGCTTAGGAATGGAAATTCTGGTCCCAGCTGTCAGTGGAAGACTGGCTGTAGAGTTGAACCCCCTTCTCTGCTCTTTAATCCAACCTTTTAAGCCAACACGAGAATGCCTCTCTCTCCCTCCCTCCCTCCCTAGTGTGTCCCCTGGATGAAATTATTTTTATAAGCTTTTTGAGCTGAGAACAGCGAGGAGGAGGAGGAGGTAGGAGGGAAGGAGAAGAAAGGAGGAGAAAAGAGGAGGAGGAAGAAGAAGAAGTAGAAGGAGGAAGAAGGAGGGAAGGAGAAGAAAGGAGGAGAAAAGAGGAGGAGGAGGAAGAAGAAGAAGTAGAAGGAGGAGGAGGAGGAAGGAGGGAAGGAGAAGAAAGGAGGAGAAAAGAGGAGGAGGAGGAGGAAGGAGGGAAGGAGAAGGAGAAGGAGAAGGAGAAGCACAGAGATGGAACCAAGCTTCATTTTTTAAAAAATACAGCATTTAGCCAAATGAAACGTTTGCACCACAAACACTTGTTAATTTTAAGTATGGTTCACGCATTATATTCCACTTGATTTCCTCTGATCCAGATTTACAAGCTTTACACGACTCCCTAAGCTCGTGTTTCTCAAGTTTTGGCAAGATGCTGACTGGGGAGGGCAGGGGGGAGGGGGTGTTCCTGGGATTTGAAATCCAGACATTTTCAAGTTGCCAAGGTGGAGAATCCCTGCCTAAATCCACACCAAGCAGGCTTGGGGAGGGGGGGCATTTACTCTCCTGAGGAGCTCAATCCTCGTGCAAGGTATTACAACAGCCCATCATCCAGCACAAGAGAGGCCCTTCAGGCTGTAACTTACCCAGCACGCGTGGAGGGCACCACCGGTAGAGATGGCCGATGCCAAGGCCTCTGGCAAGGTGGTGAACAAAACTTACGATTTATGCAAAGAAGTTCCCCTCCTAACTGGCCCTCCGGGTGGTGAGGGGCACTGGCAGTTGAGGCAGGAACAGTAAACCCCCCTCCCTTGGCAGAGAACACCCACATCTGTCCTGGCCCCATTCAATTCCATCTGTCCGCCCCATGGAAATCGGGGAGACAAACGAGTTCTTTGAGGCAGAAGAAGAATGACCAGAAGACTGGGGAGAGGGAAGGGGGAATAAATGGGGTGTGTGGGGTAAGAGTGAATCAGGCATTCTGGGAACCCTCCCGAGATTAGTCACAAAGCATCCATCTCCCCGTCTCAACAATAGCAGCTGAATTTTGACCGAATCCCAGCTGTCACTCTTTGAATGAAAGAAAACAAGGTTTTAGACGAGAGAGTCCAGGGTAGGTTTGCTTCTAGGAGCAGAAAAATCCAAACACACGTTTTTATATGAGTGCATGGTGTCTGTGTGTGCTTGTGTGTGTACATACGTATGCATGTATGTATGTTGTGGCATGCATTCATCAGCATCTCACCAAGGAACCGAGCCTTTGTTCTGTTAAATTGCTCCCATGCTGATTAATTTGCTGAAGGGGTCTCCTGCTTTCTCCTGAGCAAACTCAAAGCATAGAAAGTGGGGGGAATAAAAGAAGGGGGGCTGCCTCCCCCTCCCCTTTACCTCCTCCCCACACACTGTTGGGATCAGAAAAGCCCTGTATCACCACAAGCCAGCTTTCTCATGAGCTTTCTCAATGCTCCAAGAACTGATTTGATTCACTCACTCACTTCTTCGACTGACTTCTAATCCCACCTTTTCCTTAGGAGCACAAAAGGGTTTGTGACAATTCGCTGCAGCCAACTGGCCACACGACAATTCGCTGCGGGATGAGAGTTACACTAATATCAAAGTAAGGGTGGAATAGAATCATTAAAGAGAAGATGCAAAAAAAATGCAGTGTGTTTTCAAGGCCAGAACAAAGCAGATCCACACCAAATAAGAATATCCTCCTTCAGTCGAGACAAAATTCAAAAGGCCTGCGTTGTTTTTATCCCAAGCTTGGAACACTCAAAAAAGGACATCTCAGGGTTGAAATCTTTTACACGCTTTCATTCCCCACGCTTATAAAAAACAAGCCAGTACTCACAGGCATGCCCCTGTTCCATTTTGATAGGTTTCACACTTTCCACCGTTCAAGCAGGATTCAGAAGGCTGGGTACATCGCAAGCCTGCAAGGAGAGAAGAGAGATATTGTCATGGCACTGGTGAAGCTCAGCCACAGGACGGAAGATATCAAGAGAGGCCCAGAATCCATGTAGGATCTTTAACAGATTAACAGAATTGGAAGGGACCTTGTAGGTCATCTAGTCCAAGGGTCTCCAGGGGTCTCCAATTCTGGGAGTTGAAGTCCTCCAGGCTTAAGGTTGCCAAGGTTGGAGACCCCTGATCTAATCCAACATCCCCCCACCCCTCCGTCCAAGCAGGAGACCCTACATTATTTCTAACAAAAAGCAGTCCAGAGTCTTCTTCGAAGCCTCCAGTGATGAACAGTGACTCCACAACTTCTGAAGGCAACTTCTGTTCCACTGGTTAATTGTTCTCACTGTCAGAAAATTCCTCCTTATTTCTAGGTTGAATCTCTCCTTGGTCAGTTTCTATTCATTATTCCTTGTCTGGCCTTCGGGTGCTTTGGAAAATAGCTTCTCTGTGGCAGCCCCTCAAATATTGGAAGTCTGCTATCCTGTCTCCCCTGGTCCTTCTCTTCACTAGACCAGCCAGGCCCAGTTCCTGCAACCGTCCATCGTCTGTTTTAGCCTCCAGTCCCCTCATCATCCTGGTTGCTCTTCTCTGCACTCTTTCTAAAGTCTCCACATCTTTTTTTATAGTGTGGGGACCAAAACTGGATGCAGGACTCTAGGTGTGGTCTTACTAAGACTTTGTAGAGTGGTTATTAGCACCTCCCTTGATCTTGATTGTATCCCTCTGTTAATGCAATTTAGAATTGCATTGGCTTTTTTGGCTGCCGCCGCACACAGCTGGCTCCTATTTCATTGATTGTCCACTAAGACTCCAAGATCCCTCTCAGAGTTCCTGCTATTAAGCCTGGTTTCACCCAGTCTATATGGGTACTTTTGGTTTTTCTTGCCTAAGTGTAGGACTTTACTTTTCTCTACATTGAATTTCATTTTGTTAGATAGGGCTGTGGATAGGATCCAGTGCAGCCTTGCCCCACTCCATGTGCTCCCAGATGCCAGGCTTCCCCTCCCCAAACCCTGAGAATGGGGGTTAATGTCAATGCTCTGAGAACACATCCGGTTGGGAAAAGTTAAAGGACAGAGTTAGGATGTTAGTCATCTTTATATATGCAAGATTTCAGTGCTTTTGTAAAACAGCAGGGCTTCGCTGTTTCAAATTTTTTTGATTTAATGGACCCGGTTTTATTTCAAACAGACTCCATTATATGCAAAGCAATGCAAACAATCCATGTAGCAATTGATGCAAATAACCTAAATTTCAAGTCAATGAACATTTGGGTTTAACAGACATCCCTCCGCCAAAATCGTCCACAAAATAGAAGATTTACTGTACAGATCCAAGTGGCCTCAAAAAAATGCAATATTTCTTCTTCCCGCAACTGACAGCTATCTAAGAACTCTATACCCATTTTTCAGGCAGGAAATCAAAAGGTAAATCAGGTGAAGTTTCCAGGACATGAATCATAATTTACCTTCTTAAAATATGACCTTTTCAGGTGATTTCCAAATAATGAAGAGTCATAATTGGAACCAGAATCGGCTTTAGCAGTTATAAAGTCATCAGATCTATATTTATTTGTATCCCACCTTTATTATTTTTATAAATAAGTCAAGGCAGTGAACATATCCAACAGACCCTTCTCCTCTGATGTTTTCCACAACAACCCTGTGAGGTGGGTTGGGCTGAGAGAGAGGGACTGGCCCAAAGTCACCCAGCCAGCTTTCATGCAGGACTAGAATTCACCGTCTCCTGGTGGTTGGCCCAAAGTCACCCAGCCAGCTTTCCTATCTAACACAATGCTAGAACTCACCACCACCTTGTGACTGACCCAAAATCCTCCTGCTTGCTACCTTTCATGTCTAAGGCAGGACTAGAATTCACTGTCTCCCGGTGATTGGCCCAAAGTCACTTAGCTGGCTAGTCTTGCCTAAGGCAGGACTAAAACTCACAGTTTCTCAGATTCTGGCTGGTGCTTTAAATCACTACATCAAACTGGTTCTTTATGCTACAGAATGGCTTGCTATACACCAAGGAAAGCAGTTTCCTCAGCTTCATAAATGATTGTGTAAATGACCATCCAGAGTTTGCCGCTGCCCTTCCCGGCATGGGATTTCCCCCTCTGCCCCCCCCCAATTCTAAGTGGCCTTGGCTCTACTCCTGCTTAGCTACTCAGAGATTAACCAAGTTGGTTTGTGGGGAAGAGGGAGGCCCAAAGAAATCCACCCAGGAAATTCCAGTTTAGCAGTTCTCATAAATATATGTATGTATGTATGTATGTATGTATGTATGTATGTATGTATGTATGTATCTCTTCTGGACAAAGCAGATGAAAAGGAAAAACCGTTTCATGGGATGATGGACTGGCATTATGGGATGGCAACTCGTCAGACCTAAAGGGGGAGGCCAACCATCGCTATAATCCCAGGATCTCTGCGCCAGATATCATCTGAGATGCGAAGAGAGTATTGGGTATCTTCAATCACTAGAGATGACAATCTTAGCCAAATTGAACAAATGCCAAGCTCCACGCTTCTTCCTCGATTCTGGGAAACTCTGTTTCAGCTTGAAGAGAAGAACCCACAGAATTCTCGAGCACCGTCGTTTTTTACAAGCTTGGCTGCTTTTAAGATGAGTGGACTTCAATTCCCAGAATGGCTGGCTGGGGAATTCTGGGAGTTGAAATCCAAACACCTTAAAAGCAGCCAAGCTTGCAAAACACGTCTCTATGGGCCTGTCTGTGTAACTCAAAAGGACCCTTTATTTCTACAAGAATAAACGGTAAAGGTTCCCCTCACACATACGAGCTAGTCGTTCCCGACTCTAGGGGGCAGTGCTCATCTCCGTTTCAAAACTGAAGAGCCAGCACTATCCGAAGACGTCTCCGTGGTCATGTGGCTGGCATGACTCAATGCCAAAGGCGTATGGAACGCTGTTCCCTTCCCACCAAAGGCGGTCCCTATTTTTCTACTTGCATTTTTTAGGTGTTTTCGAACTGCTAGGTTGGCAGAAGCTGGGACAAGTCAACGGGAGCTCACCCTATTATGTGGCACCAGAGATTCGAACCACTCAACTGCCGACCTTTCGATCGACAATTTTTTTTCGCCCTTCCCAGGCTCCAGAGCCTTTCTAGGAACCTGGGGAGGGCAAAAACGGCCTTCCCCACCCCCCTGGAGGCCCTCCGGAGGCCAGAAACAACCCATTTCCTGACTTCTGGTGGGCCCAGAAGGCCCGAAAATCAGCTGCGTTATTCAGCATGCAGGCAAGGGAATTCTGGGAGTTGGAGCCCACCCATCTTAAAATGGCCATGTTTGAAAATCATAATTTACCATTAGTACTGGTATTCAGCTGGTAGCGGACACGGTGGGCTGCCACTATGCTGTCCTATTTAGGCTATTTAGCCATGTTTTCGTGGCCAGATCCATGTGCGGAAGGCGTGAGCGCAAACAAAGCACATTCGTGGAAGGCTGGGCCCATGCGTGAAGCAAGCGTGTGCACGCACGGCGAACCGGTGGTAAACATCTTTGAAAGCCACCTCTGTTTACCACGATTTGCACGTGGATTAACCTCACCAAACACCAAACCTGGGGCAAAACTAGGATTCTACGACAAGGTATTGTGGGGACTTCATGGAGCAAACTAACAGACTAGGCTCAATTTTCCCTTGTTGGTTTGGCACTATATGTTCTATCAACAGGAAAAAATGTATTTTGTTAACCCCGAAAGGAGTTTCTCGGGCTGCCTGAATCAACTCAAACTTTGTTTGGCTATGAGAGGTCTGGGAGACAATTTTTATTTTATTTTATTTTATTTTGAATAGCCTCTGGCAGGAAAAGCAGTTGACTTCGATAAAGGTCATATTTTTTAAAGGGGAAATTTTTATAAAGCATCAAGGATGCCAATCACAGATTGGGTACTAAATAGGACCTGGTCCACACAACACATTAAGCCACGGTTTAGCTATCCGTGGTTCACACAGTTAATTGGTTTGGCACATATTAACAGAGGATTATAGGTTTACCAACTATTAACAGCTTTGCACATTATGTTTAGCCACAATCGAGCTGCACGTTAAGTACAGGAAGAGTTGCTAGTCCTCTAAGTCGTCCAATGAAATAGAGATTTATTATTTGTAAAAAGTGCAATAAAGGAAACCAACGTGATGCAACCAAAAAAAAACCCACCAGACCATAAACTGCTAAAGCACAGGCAGGCCTGTCCTGCCTGGGTTAGGCATTAAATGCACATTTGCTGAATTGCCTGCAATGAGGAAGAATTGCTCCTCCTCCTAGGTGAACCTGGCATGGAAGCATTTGTAAACCGGAAGAAAAGAGACCTGGTTACTTTCAGGTCCTCTCAAGAAATAAGGAAGAGCATCTTAAAAAGCTGATTTATGGTCCCACTTTGGTGAGCCACCAAATGCAGACTGTGAAGCAACCTTCTTCTGCTTGGTAAGTAACAGAATAACAGAGTTGGAAGGGTCCTCTGAGGTCATCTAGTCCAACCCCCTTCCCATGCAGGAGACCCTACACCATTTCTGACAAACGGCAGTCCAATCTCTTCTTGAAAGCCTCCAGTGATGAAGCTCCCACAAATAGGTTGACCCCCCTCTTCTTTGGGGCAGCCCCTCAAATACTGGAACACTGCTATCATGTTGCCCCTTGTTGCTCTTCTCTGCATTCTTTCCAGAGTCTCAAAAGAGCCTCAAAATTACCCCAAAGGCATCACAAATGAAAAAACATAAATCAACTTGGAGCTGAAGTCCAGCAGAATGCAAATATGTTTGCCAAAACTTTAAAAAACATCCTTTTAGCCTAGTACAATAATACTATCGTAGACCAATCAGCTTAAAAGAATACGGAATGACTGCAGGAAGGAAAACAAAAACAAAACACTGGAGCAAAGCCAAGCCTCCCAAAGAATTCCTATATTAAGCTAAGCCATGATTTGCTAAAGAAGCCATCATGGCTGGTTCACCACATCAAACTCTCCAATCCATGATGATTCAGCCCAAGGATGCCAACCAGGCCTGCCCCTCTGGAGGCCCACTGGTCCCAGGGCAGAGGAGGGACGGGGTCTGCAGGAAGGGGAGGGGTCACAAAAGACATGATGGCCCACATCACCATGCAATCCAAGCCCCCCGGCCTTTTTTTTAGCATGCACAATTATCTCACCAGGAAGGAGGGGGACGACGATGGACGGGCGAATTTTGGTCCCTCTGCAACTGACGAAGGACCAGGGGTAGCCCCCAAGCAAGGGAGAAGGGAGTCGAAGTATCAGGGGGTCTCTCTGCTTCCATCAGAAGTGGAGAAAGCAGCTGGGTTGCAACTGAGTTCTGGTCCCCGGGGCTTGTAAAATCTGGGCATCCCTGCACCCCCAAAAAGAGACCAAACGTCCCAAAACTGGCAGAGGCCACATGCACACCTGTGGCTCTGTTAAGGCGCTCACAGATGGAGCTTTGGGGATCTCCCACGAAAGCCAACCAGGCTGTCATTCACAGCAGTGAAAATGCCCCCTTTTCTTTCTGGGGGGGGGGGTGTGGGGGGGGGGGCAAACGCATCAGCCTCCTGGAGTAACACACACACCCAACCCGCCCCGTCTGGCTTGGCAGCTACTCGGCGTTTTCCGCAAACGGGGCTCGGCTGGGCGCGTGGGAAAAAGCAACAGCTGTGCCGCTCGACAGCCCCTGCCCAGACAAAGAGGGGATCGGAGCCCCCCCCACCCGCCGTCCCTCGGGAGCCGCCTGATGCCGGCCGCAGCAGACTGAGCAGGCAGCCGAGGGTGGGGGGGGGACAGCAAGCCAGTCTGCCAGCACGCGAGAGACACCCACGCAGGTAGTTTTTGAGTGAAAAGAAAAGATTGTTCTCGACTTACAACACTTTATTTAGTGACCATTCAAAGTTACGACGGCACTGAAAAAAGTGACTGAGGACCATGTTTCACGCTGACGACCGTTGTAGCATCCTCATATGATCAGACGCTTGGGGGTTCATATTTACGTCGGTCGCAGTGTCCCTGGGTCACGTGATCCCCTTTTGCGACCTTCTGAGAAGAAAAAAAATCAATGGGGGAGCCCCATTCACTTAACCACCCTGCTACTCACTTAACAACGGTGGCAAGAGAGGTCGTAAAACCCACTTAACAAAAGGTCTGACTTAACGGCAGAAGTTCAATTGTGGCCGTAAGTCAAGCAGCACCTGTACAGCGCCAACCTGGAATTGCCTTTTGCTCAAAAGCAAAATAAAAAAATAAAAACCAGCAAAAGCGAAACCAGACCGAAGGCCAAACCGAGTTCCCCTTCACTTCCCGAAACAGGCAGCGGGGGAAGGAGTGCGGGGGCGCCCCGTCTGCATTTGGGGGAGCCCGAGAGGAGCCCCCGGGGCAGAAAACGCCCCCCTTCCTTAAGAAAGCTCCGGTTTCCATTCCAAACTTCCGGTTCTGAGCTTCCCTTCAGATTTCTGGGGGAGGCTGGTCCGGGAAGGCGCCCTTTTCTCTCTCACTCCAATACAGACTTCAAAACAAGAGGGGTTTCCTCCCCCTTCTTCCAAACAGACCAGAGGGGAGGGGGGTCTCTGGGGCAGACCCACCACACCGTTTCTGGCCAAGAAACGGCAGGTCTGACAGAAAGGCAGATTGGGGGGGGGGAGTACTTTAGAGGGGCAGGGTTGGCACAAGAGAGTCCCACTCTGCAGCCCCCCCCAAAAAAGACCAGAGTTCAACCATCTCCAGAAGTCTCTGGGGGGAGACTCTTCAGAGAGGTGCCAGGTTTTGACCTTCCTCTCCGGCAGTGGTCAACTCTGAACAGGATCCGTGTCCAACATGGTGTCTGCCAGGACTCCTTGTTTAAGTGGGGGTCTCGCCTCTACCCCTCAGTGTGACTGTGAGGCTCCTCGACAAAACATCCAGCACATTGTGTCCGAATGTCCATCCAGAGCTTACACCGGCCCAAAGTCTGATTTTTTTCCAACTGGCTGGGTGGACTGGACATTAACACTGGAACTACTACAAGTCCATGTATGTGCCATACGCTAAATAAATAAACCTTTAGAGAGAGAAGGCCCAAGATGGAGGACACCCACCACCACTCCCGATGGGTGTGAAGCAGTGGTGAAATCCAAATTTTTTTACTACCGGTTCTGTGGGCGTGACTTGGTGGGCGTGGCAGGGGAAGGGTACTGCAAAATCTCCATTCCCACCCCACTCTGGGGCCAGCCAGAGGTGGTATTTGCCGGTTCTCCGAACTACTCAAAATTTCCGCTACCGGTTCTCCAGAACCTGTCAGAACCTGCTGGATTTCACCCCTGGTGTGAAGGTGGACCTGAAGATGGGTCTCCCACCTCCGGTGCCAAAAATAGCTACCCCAAGGCCTTCTTCTGTCTGGGCCTGGCTTTCTTCCAAAGACTTGGCAAGGATCCGAGGCAGCCTGGAGCCTTCCTGAGTCTATGCTGGACTACAATCCCCATCATACCAAGCCGGGAGGATGGCAACTACGGAAGGCTTAGGGGAGAAAGAGGCTGGATTGTTTGGGCTGGACCCCCTGCTTCATAAAACCCCAAATCTGAGCTCAGGAGCTTTTGTGCCTCACCTGTGTGTGCACATACCACAAACACACAACCTGTGTGTCTGGCAGGGCCCGGATTAAGGGGGAAGCACCACGTGGCTCCCAACCACTTGTGATCAACTTCGATTTCAATTCAAACTCTTTGCTTGTGTGTGGGGGAAGGGAGGGAGAGGATCCATCAGCCACAGCAGCTGCCCCTTCCAAGAATCCCAGCCAAATTCAGCACAAGACCAGAGCCTGGGGGAGGAGGAAAGGGGGGTGTAGCAGCGGCTGCCCCCCCTCCCTCCCTCCTTTGGCCTTTCAAAAACCCACAGGTTGGTCTTTGAGGCTTGCTATTTTTGCTTCTTTCCATCTCCGCTGCTTTTCCCCAAAATCACACACTTCTGCCCCGAAAGTCATCAGTTAAAAAAAAAACCCAGAAAAAGGAAGAAGGGGGGGAGAGAAGTACAAGAGGAGGCTAGGACAGGAAATCTGACGCAGAGTCACAAAAGTGGTTGACAAAAAACACACACAAAGAGAGAGAGAGAGAGAGAGAGAACGAAAAAGCCTCGCTGGGCAGAGAGGGAGGCCAGAAGCCCCCAGTGTCCCAGCCCGGCTTCTGGGGGCGCCCCCGGCAGACCCCCTGCCCTGCCCCGCGAGGCTCCCACCCACGGCCCAGCCCCCCCCCATTGCCCCCCAGCCCGGAGTCCTTTAACCACGGGGCGCACACGGGGCTGGGGGGGTCGCTCTGCCACCTCCAGGGACTCCCGCTCCCATGGTTCCCGGCCAGCCGGAGGAAGGCTTGTCCGGTGGGACGGGGTTGGGGGCGGGAAGCAACTCTTCCCAAACTTCCTAACCGGGCAGCCAGCTCCAAGGAGCCGCTGGGAGGGAAGCTGGGAGGGAAGCCGGAGAGCCGGTCGGGTCAGTTTTTTTTTTCTTCTTTTCTTTGGAAAAAAGCGAAGTTGAGCCGAGGGAAGAAGGAAGGAAGGAAGGAAGGAAGGAAGGAAGGAAGGAAGGAAGGAAGGAAGGAAGGAAGGAAGGAAGGAAGGAAGGAAGGACGGAGGGAGGGAGGAAGGAAGGAAGAAAGGAAGAAAGAAAAAGAAAGAAGGAAGGAAGGAGGGAGGAAAGAAGGAAGGAAGGAAGGAAGAAAAAGAAAGAAGGAAGGAGGGAGGGCGGAAGGGAGGAAGGAAGGAAGGAAGGAAGGAAGGAAGGAAGGAAGGAAGAAAAAGAAAGAAGGAGGGAGGGAGGGAGAGAGAGAGAGAGAGAGAAAGAAAGAGAAAGAAAGAAAGAAAGAAAGAAAGAAAGAAAGAAAGAAAGAAAGAAAGAAAGAAAGAAAGAAAGAAAGAAAGAAAGAAGCGGCCGCCCCGAAGCTGCGGCTCTTTCCCTTCTCTTCCTCCGCCGGGGTGAGCGGCGGGTCAGCCGAGCCCCGACCGGGTGGCGGGGAAGCTGCGGTGGCAGCAGCGGAGGAGGTTGTGCAAGGCGGCCGCTCTTCCTCCGCCATCCCCTTCCCATCATCCGCAGCCGCCGGGGGAGGGGAGGATGGGAGAGGAGCAAGATCAGGGCGACCCGGGTAACCTTCGGGGCGGCCGGGGGAGAGAACCCGGGCGCGCTTCTTCCAACCCACCCGGCCACCCACCAGGAACCGTTGGCTGAGCGGTTTGCAAGGTAGACTGCGGCCGTCCAGGGAGGCTCTCCCGCCAGCATCGCCCACCCCGGGACCCTCCCCGGCCTGGCCTGCCTGCCTACCTGCAGCGAAGGCGGGCAAGACGGCCAGCAGCAGCAGCCACAGGAGCAGCAACCCCGGGAAGCGGCGGAGGCGGCGGCTCCGTCCCCGGAGGGGTTGCAATCGCATCCCGCCGCCTGACTCTGCGGCGGCTCCGGCCGATGGGATTCCCGGACCGGCTGCGGCGGCTCCGGCCGGGATGCGATCCTCCCTCCTGGCGGGCGGCGGGCGGGACGGGCCGGAGGGCTGCTTGGAAGGCTCCTGGCCGGGGACTCGGCTCGCTCGGCTCGGCGGCTCCGCTGCAAGAAAAGAGGAACTTCTCGGCTGGCCGGGAAGTTTGCAAAAAGGGCGTCGGGCGCGCACGCGAGCCAGGCTGGCTGCGGGGCGGAGGCTCGGCCGGGGCGGGGTTTTGCCTTTGCTTTGCTTTATTTCTTTTTTGCATGCCAGGCGCCGCCTCCCCGGAGAAGACAGGCGGGGCCTTGCCCCCCCCAGCTCCCCCAACGTCCCCTCCGCCGGAACGACCCGCCACTGGAAGTTCTTGCAAACTGTGATAGAAGATAGAAGAGAGATCGAATCACAGAGTTGGAAGGGACCTTGGAGGTCTTCTAGCTCAACCCGCTGCTTAGGCAGGAACCCTTGTACCATTTCAGACAGAGCCTTGGTGGCGCAGCAGACTTAAAGCACTGTTAAGTAACACCAGCTGCCTGCAATTACTGCCAGTTCAAATCTCACCAGGCTCAAGGTTGACTCAGCCTTCCATCCTTCCGAGGTAGGTAAAATGAGGACCCGGTTTGTGGGGGCAATAAACTGACTTTGTATAAAAAAGAAACAGCTTAGGAAGGGGGCCCCGAAAGCCCTACTAAGCAGGTATATACAAAAGTATGAAGGCTATTGCTTAACGCATTGTAAGCCGCCCTGAGTCTCCGGAGAAGGGCGGCATATAAATCAAATCAATAAATAAATAGTTGTCCACTCTCTTCTTAAAAACATCCAGTGTTGGAGAATTCACAACTTCTGGAGGCAGGTTGTTCCACTGATTCATTGTTCCCACTGTCAGGACTCACAGCTCCTTTAAGGTTGTTGGCCAGACAAGGAACAACGGATGGAAACTGATCCAGGAGAGATTCAACCTGGAAATAAGGAGAAACTTTCTGACACCGAGAACAATCCACCCGTGGAACAGAAGTTGTGGGAGCTTTATCAGTGGAAGCTTTCAAGAAGAGACTGGACTGCCATCTGTCAGAAATGGTGCAGGGTCTCCTTTTTATTTATTTATTCATTTTATTATTCATATTTCTTTGCCACCCACTCTCCGAGGACTCTGGGCGGGTTACACCAAAGACAGCATACTAAATAGCATATTGCCCCCCAACAATCTGGGTCCTCATTTTACCCACCTCGGAAGGATGGAAGGCTGAGTCAACCTTGAGCCGGTGAGATTTGATCCGCTGATCTGCTGAACTAGCAGTCAGCTGAAGTAGCTGCAGTACTGCACTCTAACCACTGCGCCACCTCGGCTCTTTTGGGTGAGGGGTTGGACTAGATGACCCACAAGGTCCCTTCCAATTCTCTTAAATCTCTTGGCAAGTTCCCGAGTGCTGCCCTGATACTCAGCGGGAGGTTTGCCTCTTCAGGTCCTCACAAACAGGTGCAGCAGCCTTCAGGCTCTCCTGCACCATCATCATCAGAGTTGGAAGGGGCCTTGGAGGTTTCTAGTCGAACCCCCCCCCCCCCGCCCCATTAGGAGACTCTGTATCAGGGGTGAAATCCAGCAGGTTCTGACAGGTTCTGGAGAACCGGTAGCGGAAATTTTGAGCAGTTCGGAGAACCGGCAAATAACACCTCTGGCTGGCCCCAGAGTGGGGTGGGAATGGAGATTTTGCAATATCCTTCCCCCAGGAGTGGGGAGGGAATGAGGATTTTGCAGTATGCTTCCCCTGCCACGCCCACCAAGCCACGCCCACAGAACCAGTAGTAAAAAAAAATTGGATTTTATACTTTCAGACAAATGGTTCTCCTGTTTCTTCTTAAAAGCCTCCAGGGATGAAGCACCAAAACTTCTGAAGGCAACTTCTGTTCCGCTGGATCCTTGTCCTCATTGTTTGGAAGTTTCTCCTTAATATAATAATAATCAGAATAGAAGAATATAAACTTTATTACGGTCATCGACCAGCAATAGACATACAATAAACTAAAAATAATACTGATATTAATTGTGAATAATAACATCCCTGTTATGGGTCACTCCCTAATTTACGTGAGTGGAGAGCCGATAAGTATGTGAGTAAATGTATGTAATCAGAATAGAGCTGGAAGAGACCTTGGAAGTCTTTCAGTCCAACCCCCTCAAGCAAGAGACCCTGTTCCATTTCAGACAAGTGGGGCTGTCTAGTCTCTTCTTAAAAACCTCCCACGATTTCTGGTGGCAGGCTGTTCCACTGGTTAATTGTCCTCACTGCTAGGAAGTTTCTCCTTAATTCCCAGTTGCTTCTCTCTTTGATCAGTTTCCATCCATTGTTTCTTGTCTGGCCTTCAGGTGCTTTGGAGAATAACCTGACCCCCTCCTCTTCTTTGTGGCAGCCCCTCAGATACGGGAATCCTGCTATCCTGTCACCCCTAATTCTTCTTCACTTTAGACTGAGCGGACCCAAATCCTGCAGCCGATCTTCATATGGTTTAGTCTCCAGGCCTTTGATCATCTCGGTTGCTCTTCTGTGCACTTTTTCCAAAGTCCCGAAACCTTCACGGGAGGATTGTTGTGATGCTTGCCCAGGGAAGAGAGTGAAGGCTGTACAGGGCCTGCAGTCACACACGCCCCTTAATTAGGCTACCCGATTGGAAGGAAGGAAGCTAATATAACGCACTAAACTATCTTGCAGATTAACAGAGTTGGAAGGGACCTCGGAGGTCATCTAGTCCAACCCCTGGCCCAAGCAGGAGACCTTACACCGTTTCTGTCAGTCTCTTCTTGAAAGCCTCCAGGGATGAAGCTCCCACAACTTCTGAAGGCAACTTCTGTTTCATCGGTTGATTTTCTCCTTATTTCCAGGTTGAATCTCTCCTTGCTTAGTTTCCATCCATTGTTTCTTGTCTGTCCTTCAGATGCTTTGGGGAATAGCTTGACCCCCTTCCTCCTCTCTGTGGCAGCCCCTTAAGTACTGGAAGATGCTATCCTGTCTCCCCTGGTCCTTCTCTTCCCTAGACTAGCCAGGCCCAGTTCCTGCAACCGTTCATTGTATGTTTGAGCCTCCAGTCCCCTCATCACCTTGGTTGCTCTTCTCTGCACTCTTTCTAGAGTCTCAACCTCTTTTTTATAGTGTGGGGAACAAAACTGGATGCAGTATGCATAGCCTTGTAGCTGAATGCTGCTGTGCTGTGTGTGTGTCATTCTTGGCAAGTTCCATGCACAACATACTATGTCAACATAAACATATCTTGTTAAGCCAGGTTCTGTACATCATTTGGCTGCTGAAAGGATCTTCCTCTGACAATAAGCCACTATGATGTACTGTATCTGTGAAGTTGCAGGCCTAGAAACCAGGAGACTCTGAGTTCTAGTCCTCCTTAGGCATGTAAGCTGCTAGGTGACTCTGGGACAGTCACTTATTCTCAGAGTAACCCACTCTACAAGGTTGTTGGGGAAAATAGCAGGAAGAAGGAATACTGTGTTTCCCCAAAAATAAGACCCTGTCTTATATTTTTTTGAACCCTGAAATAAGCGCTTGGCCTTATTGCCATGTGCTCAAAAGCCCGATTGGGCTTATTATCAGGGGAATGTCTTATTTTGGGGGAAACGGTATTATGCCATCTTGAGTTATTATAGAGTAGTAAAGGCTAGATAAAAATCTAATGAATAGAATAGAATAAGGAATAGAATATAATGATAGGATAGGATAGGATAGGATAGGATAGGATAGGATAGGATAGGATAGGATAGGATAGGATAGGATTACAGATATAGAATAGAATAGAATAGAAATAAGAATAGAATAGAATAGAATAGAATAGAATAGAATAGAATAGAATAGAATAGAATAGAATAGAATAAGCTGGAAGGGACCTTGGAGGTCTTCTAGTCTCGCCCCCTGCTCAAGCAGGACACCCTATACCATGTCAGACAAGACAAAATAAACGTATCATCCTTAACGCTGGGGCCATTGGGGTTCCCACATGCATTAAGCCTCTTCTGCTTTAAGATGGTTTGGCAGGTAGTGTGTCACCTTTGCCTGCACTGATCTCTAGACTCTGCCATCGTGGTTTCAGAAACATTCTGTGGCTGAATCATCCACGGTTAGAGCTGGGAGTGGAAACGGATATTGGCTTTGTTCTCTGTCATCTGCCTTTCTTTCTGGGTGCGTAGAGCAAGTTGAGCACCTTCCTCTCAAGTTGTTCTTGTGGTTTCTGGCTTAATAACACAGTTGGTTGTGGTTACTCCGTAGCCTTTGGCTAAGACAATCCAAGGTTTGCTAGAAGGCTGCGATGGTGAACCTATGGCACATATGCCACAGGTGGCACACAGAGCCCTCTCTGCAGGCACGCCAGCCGTCGCCCTAGCCCAGCTCCAGTGCACGTGTGTGTCCGCCGCCCGCCACCCAGCTGGTCTTTGGGTCTCTACTGCACATGCGCTGGGTACGGGGTGCATGTAGGGGACGCGTGCGTGTATGCACAGAAGGGCGGGGCATGGGGGGTGCAGGTTGGTGCAGGAGGTTTTCCAGGCCCAAAAAGAGGCTTGAGGGGGTTGCACCCCGATTTGGGCCTGGAAAGACTCCTGCACCACCTGGAAGGCAAAACAGGGCATGATGGGGTGGGACGCATCAGTGGTGGGTTGCTCCCGGTTTGCACCGGTTCGCAAGAACTGGTAGTAAAAATTTGTAGTAGTTCAGAGAACCGGTAATAACATTGGCTGGCCACGCCCCCAAAACGGTCCCGGGCCGGTCGCGGCCTGCTTACCCTGCCCACCTCATCAGAGGCTTTTTTTTTTTAACTTTTAAAAGCATTTTTTCTGCTTGTAGGGATTGTAGGGGAAAAATTGCCTTTAAAAGCCTCTGGCGATCCCAGCTGACTTGCCTGATCGTCAGAGGCTTTTAAAAGCATTTTTTTTCTGCAACCTCTTAAGGATGTAGAAAAAATGCTTTTAAAAGTAAAAAAAAAAAAAAAAGTTGGCCACGCCCACCCAGTCACATTACCCCCCCACCAAGCCACGCCCACAAAATAAGCCGCACCCACAGAACCGGTAGTAACAAATTTTAGAATCCACCCCTGGGGCACATGTATGGAGTGGGGTGGGGCACATGCACAGGGGGCGGGGTGCATGCGTGAGGGGGGTGAATGCATGGGAATTGTGAGATGCAATTTCTCCCCCTTTC